CATCATTGTTGTTTGGCAGGCCTGGGCTGGATTCGAACCCGCCACCTTAGGTGTATGAGGCTGGCACCTTAGCCACTTGAGCCACAGGCACCGAGCCAGCAACCTCAAACTCTTGGGCTCATGCAATACCTCAGCCTCCCAAGTAGCTGGGTCTGCAGGTGCCCACCACAAAGCCTGGCTATTTTCAGAGAATAGGTGTCACCCTGGCTCAGTCTGTTCTTGAACCTGTGAACTCAGCCAATCTACCCACCTCGGCCTCCCAGAGTGCTAGGATTACAGGTGTGAGCCCACCCAACCCAGCCATGTCTAGTACTATTTTGAGGATTCGCCACCAGGTTAATAGAACTGTATGAATGGTACCCAGTAAGTTCTATGTAAGCACTGGATTTGGGCACTTGCTATAAGGTAATTCAATTACCACTTTATATGTATTAAAATTCCACCCTGGGTAGATTCCCATGGTGTCACAGCTCACAGCAACCTCAAACTCTTGGGCTTAAGCGATTATCTTGACTCAGCCTCCCAAGTAGCTGGGACTGCAGGTGCCCACCACAGTGCCCAGCTATTTTTGATTGTAGTTGTCATTGTTGTTTGTCGGGCCTGGGCTGGATTCAAACCTGCCAGCTGGCGCCCTTGCTGCTTCAGCTACAGGCACCGAGCCTTAAAATTCCAATCTTTACAATAGCCCTGTGAGGTATGTATTGACTTGTAGTTCCCATTTTACAGAAGAGAATAAAGAAGCTGAAAGATTTTAAGTCATTTGACTGACATTACATAGAGACAGGAAGTGTTCTAACTCCATCTATGCCAGTCTGAGTCAAAGACCCCATATTCTTAACTCTGGTATTCAAAATGTGCTTTCCAGGCCAGGTGCAGTGGCTCATGCCTGTAATCCCAGCACTCTGGGAGGCCAAGGCCAGTGGATTATGGGTTTGAGACTAGCCTGAGCTTGAGCAAAACTCTGTCTCTAAAAATAATCAGGCATTGTGGTGGGTCCCTGTAGTTCCAGCTACTTGGGAGGCTGAGGCAGAATTGCTTAAGCCTAAAAGTTTGAGGTTGCTGTGAGCTGTAACACCATTGCACTCTATCCAGGGCAACAAAGTGAGACTCTGTCTCAAAAA